ACATATTACTCGTCAACCCTCATTCCTCACCATCGTTGACCTCAAACGGTTTCGCAAATTAACTAGCACGCCGACAGAGGCGTCGCTGACAAAGCGTGCAATACTGCGCATCATACTCGGCCTCATATTTCTTAAAACGCGCCAGTGTAGGAAGTCTCAGGCTTTGAGCGTGTATTGACGTTATTGCGGTATATCATTTATACATATATATATATATATATATATATATATATATATATATATATATATATGTATATAAAGATGTGTGTGTGTGTGTGTGTGTGTGTGTGTGTGTGTGTGTGTGTGGTGTGTGTGTGTGTGTGTGTGTGTGTGTGTGTGTGTGTGTGTGTGTGTGTGTGTGTGTGTGTGTGTGTGTGTGGTGTGTGTGTGTGTGTGTGGGTGTGTGTGTGTGTGTGTGTGTGTGTGTGTGTGTGTGTGTGTGTGTGTGGTGTGTGTGTGTGTGTGTGTGTGTGTGTGTGTGTGTGTGTGTGTGTGTGTGTGTGTGTGTGTGTGTGTGTGTGTGTGTGTGTGTGTGTGTGTGTGTGTGGTGTGTGTGTGTGTGTGTGTGTGTGTGTGTGTGTGTGTGTGTGTGGTGTGTGTGTGTGTGTGTGTGTGGTGTGTGTGTGTGTGTGTGTGTGTGTGTGTGTGTGTGTGTGTGTGGTGTGTGTGTGTGTGTGTGTGTGTGTGTGTGTGTGTGTGTGTGTGTGTGTGTGTGTGTGGTGTGTGTGTGTGTGTGTGTGTGTGTGTGTGTGTGTGTGTGTGTGTGTGTGTGTGTGTGTGTGTGTGTGTGTGGTGTGTGTGTGTGTGTGTGTGTGTGTGTGTGTGTGTGTGTGTGTGTGTGTGTGTGTGTGGTGTGTGTGTGTGTGTGTGTGTGTGTGTGTGTGTGTGTGTGTGTGTGTGTGTGTGTGTGTGTGTGTGTGTGTGTGTGTGTGTGTGTGTGTGTGTGTGTGTGTGTGTGTGTGTGTGTGTGTGTGTGTGTTGTGTGTGTGTGTGTGTGTGTGTGTGTGTGTGTGTGTGTGTGTGTGTGTGTGTGTGTGTGTGTGTGTGTGTGTGTGTGTGTGTGTGTGTGTGTGTCAAGGACCCCTGCGTCGATTCAGTGCCAGAGTCCTGGTAAGAAGGCCTGTCGCATCAGCAACGGGACCGGCGCGTGATGTATCCCTCTGAGGGCCTTCGTGTCGAACAAGGACCCTGTCCCTGTGTCACCAGAATGGCAGCCACTGCGGACCCCGGACTGGGTCGGAACGCTATACAGCTCCTGACCAAAAAACTTTGTCCGTGCGACTTGGAAGATGACTGTCTGACTGGTTACAGCAGCACGAGCATCAGAGATGTATAGTCAATGCGTCATGAGCTCGTGGTGGTGTGCGTGCTGACGACATGCCGATACCTTCTGCCGTATTGTAACTGATTTCATGCCACTGAAAATACCACTTTCCGACACGCAATCGCTTTCGTACGGCCGTTGACCGCCGTCGAGTGTTAGCACGCGCCCGGGTGACCGGCTGGATACCCTTCACTTGGAGGGGGGGGGGGGGGGGTCAATTTGATCCCCCTGAGATCTCGGGAACTAAGAGAGCTAGAAGCACTGAATTTACAGCGTGTGTTGACCTGTACGTGAAACTCACCTAGGTCAAAGTTTGAGGCTCCTGGATCTTGACCTTCGGGTCAAATAGGGTAAAATAAGGTCAAATTCCAGTATGGTATCCGAAGTGCCCCTGGAACCTAGATGACTGCTTCTAAGCAAAATATAACATGCTCATTTAAGGTGAGTGGCCTTGTTTGATCTTTTGAAAGTCATGGCGACCAAAACCACACAAGACTGCTCCGAGTTTTGCATTTCAATAAGCGACAAAGATCACGCCAGGCAATGTTTCTAAAAAAAAAATGTTGACCTGGCTCATTTTAGATCAGTGACCTATTATGATCTCTAAGAAGTTCATGGAAGATATACGATGCGGTTCCTGCTCGATAAATTCGACCCCCACCCGAGCGCGTGTTAACACGCGCCCGGGTGGCCGGTTGAACATCCTTCGCTCGGTTGGGAGTTCAGTTTCACACGCTGAGATCTCAGATTCTTAGAAAGCTAAATACGCCAATTTCGCTGGGTTTCTTGACCTGTGCATACGTGAAATTTTCTTTTTAATATTTGAGACTGCTAGAACATAACATTCGGGTTAATTAGAGTCAGACAAGGTCAAACTCCAGATTGGTGTCCAAGGTGCCCCCAAACCTTTTCATACAACCATTGTGAACCTAAATTCCGCTTCTGATCAAAAGGTTGCCGATGCTTATTTAAGATCAATGAAATCACGTGACCTTCCCAAGTTCATGACAACCAAAAATAATGCAATCTTTTTGAGGGATTGCGCTTGGCAGCATGTTTTTAAAAACCAAACGGTGACCAGGGGTGGTAAAACATGCCGACGTGGTTAATGAGGTGGGCGACAAATGTATATATATATATATATATATATATATATATATATATATACATACACGCAAAGTTTGGTGCCAAAAATGTTTCTGGACAGCAAATTCTGGCGACGGCCAAGACGAAATCCTGCAGCACAATATGAAGAACACAACATGAGACCTCTATGCATGGATATTATGTCACCATGGTAATACATTTCGTCACACAAAACCATCAAGCGTTTTCGTAAAGTCCCTTTACCGTACGCTATGGCAGCATGGTATCTTTTCTAGGAACATGACGCATTGTATTGATTGGGGACACGTTCATCAGCTTGGTCTGCGGGGTGCAACAAGTTCGACTCCCGCCACTGGCTCCGCCCTTTTACACACTTGTGTTCTAACTGGGTTTGGAGCTCAACAACCCAAACAGAACGCAAACATGTAAAAACCTTCATCACTCAAACATCGAACATTGCGGCAAAGAATATGTGGCGAATGACACGGACGGACTTAAATTAACACCTTAAACTTACAACGAATACTGCACGTAATTCTTGGAATGTCCTGACTGTCGGATCACCCTACCAGACTGGCTGTGGCGCTCGGGGGTCCATTTCCATTCACCCGCATCTCGCCACCAGCTCGATCTGAAGCAGGCGACCGACAATGTCCAGAATCCTTGACCCCGTCTGTGTTGACAGCGCCCCTGCTGTTCCGCTCGTGCACCCCGCTGGCTCGGATGGAACCCTCTCCAGCGCCCAACACCCGGCATCCGGAGCGAGGTGGACTGCGTTTCCTCCAATGCCCGATGGGCCGGGCCCGTTAGCAAGCACATCTACCCGCTCAGACAAGCACATCTACTCGCTCACGTTCAGATTGCCTGGGAGGAGCGGAAGCGACCGCTCGCGGCTCCTCCGGGTCTGCATGGCAGGGTTTTAACCTATTATGATACACAACTGTCTCCGCCGAGCCACCTTCATACCCGACTCAGTATGCCCAGTTTCTCAACTTTGTGACTACTTGTCTCAACTAGGGCCCCATCCAGTGCGTCGCCAGCTTCCGGACCTCCCCACCTTTCAACGCCTGCTTTCGGGGTCAGACTCGGTCTCCGGCAGCATTGACATTTTCAACGATGCGAGCGTCGTAACGCAGCTTGCTCTGCTCGTGTGCGGCGACACTGCTCTCCTACAGGAGCTGATCTGTTTGAGCGAGCGTCTCCTGCATGCCCGACAGATAGCTTAGCACATCTGGCGCCGTCCGTCCGGCCGGGGCCACCGACTCGCTGACCTCGCGGTACAGCAGATCGGAGGGGAGCGTCGGCGGCCTACCGAACACGCTCTCGTACGGCGACAACCCAGTGCCTCACTGACCTTTGCGTTCATGGCCATTACAGGCGCGCCCAGGTAAACTGTTCAGCTCACACATCACGTACAACTCCGGTAAAATTTACAGCGAGGATTTCCTCGCCACGATTATTGGTAATTTCACAACACGAACATGGCGAAGACAAACCCATTTTACCTATTTCATTTCTTTAAGCACTTTCAGGGACAAACATTTGCAAACCAAGTTTGGAATCGTGACATACGATAGAAATGGCAGCGCTCTTTTTGAAAGTGGGCTGACAGTATTTGCCCGGAGTTTGCCGTTTTATTCTTTATTTCAGGCACTTTTAACAAGTGCATATAGGAATCATGGACGAGTGCTTTTGTTGCCATCAGCCGCAGGCCATCCATTGCAGGGGCAAAGGGCAAGTGCCTGAAACGACCCAAACTCATCAATTAATGAGTGATTTAGATCAGAAAGCAGTCGCTTCAAAAAATGATCTATGGAGACAATTTCTTCTCCCCACATAGACAGCTGGCAGCTACTATACTCCAGCCTTTCTAATAATAACTGATAAGCTTGTTAACGTGGTCCTGACAAAATAACATGCAACACTGCACTTCATGCTCATAGAATGTAAACTTTTTGCGTGATTATCTTCATAAATAACACCATCAATAGTTTTGATGTCGTTGTTATTGTGACCGCAGGAAGACATAACGCAAGCCGGCTTCCATGTAAGTACTCCAAGTAAGGTTTTCCCATGCAAGTACTCCGAGAGAATGCACGTATAGTGCACTTCTGCACTGTTATTCGGCATAACCGCTCTCATTATTATCAGCCTCTGTGAACGACTTAACATAAAACCAGTTATTTCTTTACCAAAATCTGTGCACATGCATAATCATCCACATTTAGGCCGTGGGGCAGTGATCTGATGTGCTGAATATCACCATTTTCAGAGGCCATTCTGCGCAACACATTGCGCTCCGTGTCTCCCACAACAAAATGGAACAGGTACCAGGAAAACGGTTTCGGCGGGAGAGACTGCGATGACGGCAGGAAACATCGCGCTGGCAACGGCAGGAACGGCGATGCAAAACACCCGTTGAATCGGTTTATGATTCCGCATGGCTTAATGATTATTGCATCCAGCATGATAACAAAATAAATATGTTTTGTGGAATGGTGCTGTCGTCGAGGCAATTTCGGTAAAAAAATGTGAATACACTTTCACCTGGCTTATTATCAATGACATGAAATAGTATGCCTGGGATTACGGCGGTCCATCAACCAGATGGAATTTGAAAGGAAAGATCGATAAGGCCCAAATGGGGCCCATCTGGGGTGGTTAAAAAGATCCCATCAGGCTAATTATATGGGTCCCATCTGGGCAGGTTTCATGGGTTCTAGCTGGATATGCCCATGTGTGCCACAGCTGAACATTCCCACATGGGTCCCAACTGGATGGCCTATGTGGGCCCCATGTGGATCCAGTTAGGCCCATGTGGGCCCCAGGTGGGCTGTTCATGTGAGACCCAGTTGGCCATGCTTACGTGGGTCCCAACTGGACAGACTATGTGGGCCTCATGTGGGTCCTAGTTTGGCTCCATATTGGCTCTAGATGGGCCGCCCATGTGGAACTTATTTGTTTGCCAATGACATGCCCACATGAGACCGAAGTGGGTTTTAACTGGGCAGGGCTGGGATGGTTGTGTTGCCTAGGAAAATATGGCAGAGACGTATGGCTTCGTCCAACATTACGTTATGCATCATATTGAACCATTCCCTGGAAATGTTCTTCGCTGAATCCATGGCCTGACTTTGACTTGCTCTATGCCAGTGACCTTACAAATTAAATGTATCTAAATGTTGTATTCCAAAAATCCGTTTGTCAGTTGTCTACAGCCGTGCACAATTCGGCGCGGCTATGCCGCGCCGTTAGGAATTCATTCCGGAAAAACCTTCGGGGGGTGGGGGAGTAAATTGACCCTCCGCCAGACCGCGTGTTAACCGCGCGACTCATTGAGACTGCAACGCCGGGCTTCGATATTCTTTCTCGTAGACAGCGAGCGCTCGTACCTAAAACTATTGTAGGCCATTTTCCAGGATGAATTCTAAAGAAATTCCAGATAAACATGAATTGGGCGCTTCAATCAAGTTTTTCACTCTGTTTCTATCTTCGATCTACGCAGGCCTTCAAAGCACAGGCCACTTAATATCTTTATAGACCCCCGAGGAAATCGGGCGCATCGCTCACAGGGTGACAACTTCAGTGACGTCAATGGAAAGTTAAGTGAACGTGGCTTAAAAATCACTGGATACTGTTACCACCAATACATGCCGACCTTGGTGGCCCTCCATTATTCAGCCCCTTATCGCCGGCGAGCGTCTCCGGAGGCGGCTTGGGTCTCGTCGTTGGTGTGGGTTTGCTGTGAACTAAAATGAATCCGCTCACGTAAGTGGCTTTTGGGTTGGGCGGGGGAGGGGGATGGGACAACGGTGGAGGAATGGTCTTGATAAGTGGATGGTGGATTATTTCCCCCATTGATCGACGAGCGGTTGCGTTCACAAAAAGCTGTTAGTGATCGGTCGCTGATCTGATTTATGTAGTGTGATAGGTAGTATACTAGCCAATTTGTCCTGAGGAACGGGTTGCAAGTGTTGGTGTTGGTGGCTTGTTGCAAGTGGTGGTGTTGGTGATTGGTTGCAAATGCAAGTGTTAAGAATATTGGAATTGTGTTACACATGTATGAGGAAAGGCTCATGAACTATGGTGGAAAAGGGGAGGAAGCATGAGGTTTTGTATTGGAATATAATGCTTAAGGGTGCATTCAGATGAGGGAAAATTACCAAGTGAGTAGTTATCTTTCTGATAATCATGCCAGGAGGCTTCCCACATATGTTTGGCAGATCCAGGAATTATCTTCCAGTTTTGTCTCACATTCATTACATATTGGCAGCTATCATTGCTAGGCATGGTAAAAATATTCCCCTTCCCCACACTCTGAAATTAATCCTGGACTTCCATACACAGGGCATGTGTGAAGGGCTAAATGCCAAGGACTTCCATATGTGGGGCATGTGTGGAGGGCTAAATGCCACTTAAGAGAATTTTCCATCATTTTTGAATAATACTTTTGAGAGCTGCTGACTGCACATGCCCTAGGTGTCATGGAAAATCATGTTTGAGTCCTTAAAAATTTTGGGTCAAAATTGTAATGACTTTCTTTCATGAATAGAGGAATGTTCATTATTTGCTTTCTATCTCTACCTTGATTAAGGCTAGATTTGAAGAAAAAAACATTGTATGCTGAACATCTCTCTGATAGCTGTGGCATGGAGGCAACAATGTCAGACTGTGTATGCCATGCCCTTGTAAATCTAAACTCAGAGTTTGACACATGGTCACCACTGATTTCAGTGCACATAGAGTGGATGATTTGGGATTTATAATGATTGAAGTATATGTTAGGCAAAACTACTCTAAAGGCATTTGACATGCAGCCATAATTTGAAAATTCAGCACAATTGACATGGCATTAGTTCTGTTCATGTAAAAGTGAGGTTCAGCACACCATTTCATGTGTGTCTTGGGTGTACTGGATGCATTTTCCCCAGAATGGAATTATATTCAGTATGCAGAAATCCACTGCACTGTCTATACTCTTGACACAGTGCCTCAGTGGCATGGGTGGTGTTTCACATAACATAAGGTATAACCAAGGGTTGTGGGAGGGTGAAAAACCATATAACCATGTAGTGGGATTTATGAATGTTCCCTATGTAGTTCTGTGTTCAAGCAGTTAGGTAGCCAAGGAATGCTGACAGGACTGTGATTTTCCAGGACCTATGGGATAAGTTTTAAAATAGAAGACATAAGAGCTTGTTTTTGGTGACAGAAGAGGCTAGAGTTTAGGTGCATTACAGGGACATTGTTTGCTGAAAAATGGTAGCTTACAGATGGTAGCTTATGGAAGTATGCAGGAATTTGAATTGTAAGGATATGATGTTTTTTATTTGACAGAGGAGGTAGGAGATATGGTGGTGTGGTAATGTTATTTGTGAATTGCTCATCCAACACTTCATGAGTTCCCAGCCTGACCCCTGCAGATGTATGGATAAAGATGATATTTCCAGAATTGATATGGACTGGTGTTAGTTTTCGTGGAAATATTAAGAATAGGTGCATTGAGCATAGGTGTCTTTTACCAAGAAGGGACTATGCCTGGAGAGAGTTAGACAGAAAAGGCCTGCTACACTTTTTTATTACATTTAAAAGAACTTGTCCAAAAAATGTTCCAAAAACAATTGTTTGGAACATTGTTACAAGCAGTGTTCCAAATAATTATGCATGTCCTCAACCAGGCATGTGCTACCCATGCTATGAAAGTAATTGGATTCTGTTTCATTCCACCATGCTGAATGTTCCAGAGACTCTTACATTTCTGGGCAGGAGGCTCGATGGGTACAATGCTAGAGGTGCACTGCCTTTCCTGATCAGGAGCTGAAGATCCCCTTCTTCCCCTTCCCCTTCAAGGCCAGCATGCCTGCCATCTGGCCACACAGCAGCTGGGGCTCTCCTATCAGGGGGAGGGGCTTCAGTGGGATGCATCATACATTGGTCCCTCCCTGCCACTGGCAGCCCGCAGGCCAGGGCAGCCTGAAGACCATAGGATGGTCCCTGCCCTGAATCAACTCAGGGGGCCTTGCTAAAGCAACAGGAGCCTTACCAGTGAAGGGGTCCAATAATTATCACAGGACCCCAGTTTGGCTAATTGGACCCCTGGCTGGAACCAGGAGGGCCCATGTTTGCTACTGAGTCTCCGGACAAACACTGGGCCCTTCCACTGTCCCCCCTTGAACATTTCTATTGTCATTAAGCATGCCTCCTTTTGTCAGATGGTCCTCCCAACATCAGAGGCCCTGTTGTGTTGGGGTTTGGCTCCTTTCCCTGTTCAGCAAATGTGTCCCTGGCCAACTGGTGGTCCTTGGCTGACACAGACTGCCCCTCATTGTTTCATGGCCCTGAAGGCCCATCAATCTTTGTGTAGAACCCTAATGCAAATACAGCTCTGCCTCTGCTGACAGTCCAGAGCAGAATAAACCATTGTGAAATGAATTGCATTGGTTGTGACATGTCAGGAAAAGATCTGCACTCATTTGATCTTTAACTCTTTATTTAGTTGTGCATAATGTGAGCCAATGGATGTAACCAGGCGCATGCGTGCCCTGGTCTTTCTTCAAAACCCAGAGGTCAATGTGGACAGACTAGATGCCCAGAAGTGTCCATGTCACTACTTAGTGGATACTAACAAAGCAAATGAAAAGATGTACATGCAGTTTTAAATCAATCTCAGTTCACAGCTATGAAACATGTGCCTACCCAACAGCTAATAATAACTCTGGGTCACCTTTAGCAACAGCCCTGCAGTTCACAGCTATGAAACATGTGGCTACCCAACAGCTAATAATAACTCTGGGTCACCTTTAGCAACAGCCCTGCCAAGTAACAGGACTTCAAGCTTTGTAATGAAGAGAAAGTTATGGCTAACAGTAACAGTATAATACTTGAAATTGTGGTGCCATTGTATCTAAAAACTGTTCCTTGTGATAAGCTGCCTTTGACCTCTGTGGCTGAAAAGATGAGCTTCCTTTGCCTCCCCCATACCCCAAATACCTAATCATGTATGTGAATATTACTTTCTTCAAGTAAGGATATTTGGTAGCTGGTGGCTATAGTTTTGAGGAGAAGAAATAGACTGCTATGGGTGTCCACCTGTTGCACTGGTATCTTGTATCAAGTTACAGAAGGTTCCTTTTGAAGTAATTATGCATATTTGCATCACAAGCTCATCATTCTTGGAACTTGACAACCCCCATATCACTTTAATGGGATTACTGGCCCAGGATGGTGTGAGTATGTATTAGGAAATGGTATGGAATATGGTGTTTGGCTATTGGTCACTGGCAGCTGCTAGATTTTTTCATGGTGGCAAAAGTTGTGCAATATTCAGTGCATGACTCATTGATTAAGCATATGATTAAGCATATGTACATGCATGTGATTTTATGCATGCAAGAGTTTTTCAGGCATATGAAGATCTTTTATGGTACAGGACCATGTTGTTTTATGCATACAATTGTTTTTCCAGAAATGTAAAGAATATACGCAAGCTTAACGAGCGTGAAATCGAGCTGGGTATCGATGAGAAGTCTTCGTGGCACAAGCAGTACAAGGACAGTGCCTGGATCTTCATTGGCGGCCTGCCTTTTGATCTGACGGAAGGAGACGTCATTTGTGTCTTCTCACAGTAAGTCCCTCTGTTCTGTGTTCGCTTATCATTTGTCTTGGGTGGTCAGTATAGGGGTATAGGATCATGTTTGATTGGATGTGCTCCTTTCCCCCTCCCCCTCCACTCCTCTCCACCTTGCAGCTTAGCCCTCCTAAGTTGACTGAAGGTCGTTCCAATCACTGTTACCATGGTAACGAAAAATTGAAGCAATGCAGTAAGCCTGCTTTCGAGATAGGAAGATGTGGCACAGGAAGGAAGCTGGGATAATATAGCGTACTGCTGGGAGATACAGCACGATAACTTCGGAACAACATCTAGTATAGCCTCTGCAGCCCAGTGCGTCGTTAAGCCACCATGACGACGGCAACGACGGCGTATCATCTAAATGGGTGTATTTTGGTAGATGAAAGCTGCCATATGCTGCCAAATTAAGCCTTGTAAAACGACTCGACCAACATTCGCCTTTTTACGTCACACCACTATAGCTATAAATTCCATAAAACGACAGTGCGAAGATTTGTGTCTTTATTCAGTCGCGTTAGTGTGTGGCACGGAGCAGGAGAGCTTTGCTTCATCTTTTGATGGTGACGCCCTTTATCAATAGGATATGTTAGCTGCAATATACCATTTGCATTAGGTAAGTTGAAAAATGCGTATTTCTTGTCGTAGAACTAGGCCTGGGTACATAATCAGCGGATACGACCATCGATTTAAATGATGTAAACGGATTTTTCAACGTAAAACAGAAGGCTGGTGTTGGCGTTTCACCTGCAACAGAAATCCCTCGGCGCAGTACTTTAGAGTTTTATTGCAAGTTGTGTAGTAACGCTCGTGGCGTGTTTCGAATGGCGTCATAACGTTTGTCTGGCATCAATTATTAGGGCGAGGTTGGCATAGAATAGCGGCAGAAACGAAACAACAAACACAAATGAACACGGCAAGAGACCATCCAGAAAGGCGGTTGCATCAGGTGGGGGGGGGCACAGATCTTTATGTTTAACCTCATTTGCTTCATATTCGACATTCCTCTGGGGACATTCATTAGAAGTGCAGGGTAAATCCGTGAGTTCGAATTAATGGAACAAAAGCTTGACTGGCTATCAGAATTGTTACTGATTTGGGTACCGTTGTCTGACAATACAAGCATCATTTCAACAAGCTCAAAAACGTGGAGCGGAGCCCAGCATTTCCATAATGCAGGGGCATTGGGAATGGTTTCATGGCTGTTTTGTAAAGACCAGATCCAACGGCGTCTACAGATTAAAAGCAACGGCTGAAAGCTTTAGAATGAAACATTGTGCTTTGCATTGTAAACAAATGCTCGGGTACGCGTTGACAGTATAACTGCATTTTAATTGTCAAGTGATGGGTGAAGGAGCACCGGGGGACGCCAAGCCCTTCAAAGGCACGCAGGTCGCCAAACACGTGCTGACATCGAACTTTCATTGGCCGTCCGTCAACCGTGCCAAACACTTGGAAATTGCCTAACACGCGATGACTTTGCATGCTGATAGACGTCCCGGCTACCTCTGCATGAAGTGCACTGCGGGCCCGTCGTACAAAGGTTAATGGAGCTTTCCAGCTTTATTCGAAAAGGAAAAAGTCGAACGTTTCGATGATTCCAATGAGTCCTAAGTCAGCACTGTATAACAATTGGCCAAGAAACATTACATGACTCTTGGCCAGAGAGAGTCGTTAACTTGGTTTGATCGCGCTGGAACTTCCAGAATCCTAACTTGCAGTAGCCTCACATGCAAGCTTTCGTCGAACCATGAAGAGTTGCCCTGCTGAACATACCCCTCAGCGGTCGAGTTGTGTAAACTTTCAGTGCTCCACAATGCACGCAGCTGTCATAGCCGGTCTGGCTGCACTCCCACGCCCCGATCGCATAGGGACACACCGAAACAGCCGGGAGCGATTCTCGAACCGGCCGCCTAGCTATTCTAAATCCCGAGCTGTGACGCTCACATCCCGAGTTATTGGGCTCACGTTCCAAGTTGTTGGGCTGTCGTTCCAAGTTATTGGGCTCTCATCCCGAGTTATTGGGCTCACGTCCCGAGTTATTGGGCTCTCATCCCGAGTTATTGGGCTCTCGTCCCGAGTTGTTGGGCTCTCGTCCCGAGTTGTTGGCTCTCGTCCCGAGTTATTGGGCTCACGTCCCGAGTTATTGGGCTCTCGTCCCGAGTTGTTGGGCTCTCGTCCCGAGTTGTTGGCTCTCGTCCCGAGTTGTTGGCTCTCGTGTGTAGCTACAACACCCGGTCCCACTTAGCCTGTACTTTAAGAATGTCTGCTGATGATATCAGTCAGTATCAGATGATGTCAGTGGCAGTCAGTGCTATGTCTTATAGGCAGCCTGTGTGCTAATTAATTTAAACGAGTATCAAAGTTTCCAAACTTGTATACCGTCTCAACATATTGTCCCATTGCCACAGGTACGGAGAAATAGTCAACATCAACTTGATGCGAGATGTCAAGACGGGCAAGTCAAAAGGCTTTTGCTTCCTGTGCTATGAAGATCAGCGCAGTACGAATCTAGCGGTGGACAATTTCAACGGCATCAAGGTAAGATGCTTTGATATATCACTTGCGCCTTGCAGCCATTAGTTCCAACTGACAGTGTCAGTTTTACTAGCACCAGACCCAAGTATTGCTATTTGATCTTGCTTTCTGTGATGTCGGTAATGGCAATTTTCGCCCGGGAAAGTATGCTCACAACCGCAGTGTAATGGACAACCATTTTACCATGAACGGGACTGTGTCGTATGTGTATGAGGTGTTTCATTAATGCAACTATTTTCAAGACCGTTCCATGCAGTTCACAGACATGCCCTTTTTTAAGACTCCAAATCGTCTTGCTTCTGAGATCGACGTACGCGAATCCGTGCAGGCTATTTCGCGTCGCCTATGTGAAAGTCACCCGGACATAATGTGATCACAGCAACGTCACGTGAATACCCATCCCTCCATCGCCGTATTGTGCTCATGGTTAAGACAAACATGACCACTGAAACGTAGTGTTTTGAGTACGTCAGTACCAAGTGTCCCAACGATAGAAGGCAGAGTTGGCTAACAGCCAGTTAAAGCTGCTAGTGGCCTGTATTGATCATAAACCGCGTTTTCTGGTAGATAGCACACATTTGGGTAGTTCTGGGTACGGCGGACATGGCTGGGAATGGAAAAGATAACTACGAGGCTGGAAATCGAAGAACATAATGGAGAGAATAACACCGTAACAGAGTGTGCAAATGCGAGTAAAACACATGCATCGTCACGGAAAAAATACACGAGAACACTACCGGAAAGGGTCAAAACACATGTTCGTAACGTAACTAACACAAATTTACACGCCTAAACCACTAACGCGATTTTGCGGCGCAACGAAGTACCATGCGCGGTGCCGCTACACCGTCCACACCTACCACACGTGGGATAGTTCACGCTCTCCGATACAGAGGCTGTCATCCATTATCCTGGCTTTTCTCCGAGGAATAAAGTTCTTACTCCTGTCTCATCTACGTGCGTGATGTTCCTCGCAGAAGCACTTAACAACTTACGTAATTTTGAACCTAAGTAACGCTTCTCTATGATGAAAACATGTTTCCATGGTTTGAAGTCATTCGGCTTACCAGGAAGGCCCCTGCTTATTATGCCGTCTTAGCCTGCGTGAATGTTTCCATGTAAATGGGCTATTCTACCACAAACGACGGTTCATCGTAAAAAATCGTCCTGAAATGCAGCTTTTCAACCGCAACAATGATGCATACGGATCCATACCAATCTCAAGCACCCATGAACTTCCATGACTTGATGCTTCGAAAGCTTTGTTGGATATCTGCTATTGACATGAACTAGGCACCTACATTTTATGCCTATGTTTCAAATCGCCAACCAAGTACGCCTTGATTGTCCCGCTGCGGCGAGCAGAATGGTATGTGCTCATCACTGTCAGGTGTGCGCGCGTTTGGGCAATGCCGGCAACGAGCAAGGTCGAGGCCGGCCTTCCGTTTGTGTTTACGCCCATCCCGAAGGCGTGCAAATGTCGCCTGCACTCCTGTGTTGCATTCCGGAACTTCCTCCTTTAATCGTTTGGAACCCATTCTCTTCCACCGTGTTCCTCGCTGTAGTGAATGGAAAGGCAAAATGCTTTAAGCCCTGCCAATTTTGATAAGATACTTTTGCGTGTTATATTATTGCCAATGCTAATGAACGTCGCTTTCATTGGAGTCCAGCGATGCATTTTGGTTGTTTAAGTGCCTTGCCTGAAGTTTCTGTTTAATTGGAGGGACGATCTCCTGCTGTTGAGAATAGTGGGGGCGCGTTAACCCTCGTCCCCTCTGGTAACGCCCATGTCCATCTGAATATTAATCTGTCACTGTTGGTAAAATCAAGGGTAATGAGATCGATTCTTTATATGTGCTACCTGCATGCTACAACAGCAGCAATATTTACTTATGGATGCAACAACAAAAGAGCAAGTCCTGAGTCCCAGTGAGCACCTATCATGTGTATGTGGCCGTTAGTGCGTGCCTACCTGGCGTGCCCTTGCCTACGGTACTTCCCTATTGCCTAGGCAAAAATTTAAAAGTTGTCAGCAGATAACCATTAATCAATAGACGCCCTCGAAGGTAATTGTGATATGCAACACCCTGACATATCCTGAACTGGACTGACGGGCTAAAACCTGAAACCTAAAACGGACTGCCGCATCGCATTACCGCGACACAAATAACGACGTATGAGCAGCCTTTCGCCTGCCATAGAAGTGTAATAAGCAGACATATTATGTGCCCATGTTCTGCTTGCCGCTTTTGGTCATCGTCCGTGGAAGAATCTGTCGCCAGTTGCACGTGGGATGGTCCTCGTTACTGCTCGTTTCATTTGCCTGGAGCTTTTTCAACACCGACATGAGGCGTATTTGCGGATAAATAGTTTTAATACATGGATTGTGCGTAACAGCCACATGGTTATATCTGGAACACGTTTCTCATGTTTCAACAGCGCACACGGTTGCCAACAGTAAAGCCGGCAGTTCTGAAATCATCAGATAGAAGCAGTTGCGTTTATGTGCTCTTGTGGCATTTGTTCACGTGTACCTGTGATCTTATTCTGCCCTGGTGTTCCGGCTAAAAGTGCGCTGAAACTTAAACCTACGATGAGTATGGTGATCGCATAAATTAGTCATGACTGTCATAATTGTCCCTCGCGACGGGTTTTCTATAATCATGTGATGTTAAGAAACTGTTGGTATATATTTTCTGGTGGTGTAGGCAATGGAAGAAGGATTGAGACATTTTTGAAGGATCTCCTTTTCAAAAGTAGGCAAGCCATCGACAGTCTCGTTTCGCCAGAATGACTACTAGGGACAGACTGTTCGCCGCCAAAGTTCGTCAGCGCTGGGTTCATTAATAACCGGGGATGGGTGTGCCACGTGATGAGGTTTTCCGGTTCAAGTTGTGTTTAACTTCATTTTTCTAGAGTCTTGAGCGTCTGTTCCACGTTAAGTAATAGTTTGTGCCAGATAATAAGCATGCCCAATGTTTTGAAGCCAAACAGTTGCACAAATATATTGGAAATATATCAACTTATCATTAGCTCTGAAACAGGATGTTTTTTTGTCTTGGACGGGGTTCTCCGGGGTTTCTGCCAAGCAAACTGCAGCTTGAGTCGTATTTATGGCAGCGCAACACTGCTGTGGGTGTGACATCGCCGGTTGGCTCCGAGTAATGCTGCACTGAATCCCACAGAGGCCCGCCCCGAATGGTGGGCCGGTGCTCTCAGGAGGCGGTGTTGAAGGCTCGCAGAAGGGCAGCCAGCCGGCGCGCGCGCCCTCTGCCCCCTGCGCCAGAGCGGCGCGCACTCCGGCGCCACGCGCCGTGCGCTCTGTGCAGCGAAGAGCCGGGCACATGTGGCGGAGTTGGGCGCCACGCACCGGCGTCGCAGCGCCACGGCCGTCTGATCGGCTGGCAGCGCGTGCGAATAACTGCAGGCCGGTGCCGTGGGCGAGGCCCTACGAAGGCAGCGGCCGGCCGGCCTTGGTCCCCGGCTAAAGCCGACGAGATGGCCTGCGGAGCGGACAAGAACGGGGCGTCGCCGGCTGACCAGGGCGATGGCGTCGGCCCCAGCGGCACGCCCGCGGAGCGACCAGCAGCTCCCCCACTCTGCGGGGCGTCGGCCGATAGCACGCCGAGCTATCCGCGCCCGTCGGCCAAGCCGGCCAGGGCAGCGGCGGCGCCGACGCGCCTGGGGTTAGCGCCGCCGTCCGCGAGGTGGCGGCCCGCCGCAGTCCCGGCCAGCGGCAGCTCAGGCCCTGGATGGGCCGCAACGAAGTGGAGCGCAGCACACTCGCAGTCGGACCCTCGGAACCGCCTGGTCCGACGACAGGAGGGGTGACTGCGCAGTATTAGGAGAAGCGCCTCGCCGTCGGCGTCAGCTGGTGAACTATTCAACGAGGCTGGAGGGGCAGCTACCGACCGCCGCCGCTGCGGCGCGGCGTCAGACATCGGCTGAACGCCAACACCCTCACGTCCGGCCGCCATGGGAAGCAAAGCTCTTCGAAATTATTCGTGCTCCGAAATTTCGCCTTAGCTCCCGCCCAAAATCAGTATGACATGTATCATATCGTGCCACTCATTTAGGACTATGGCAAAACGGAATTGCTCAGCAATAGTGGTGATCCGATCCCTTTTTTAAGAAGTATCCCTTTTCTTTTGCATCCATGTTGAAGGGCACTGTACATGTTTGCATGAACAACGGCGTTCTTTTTGTTCCCTAGGCATGATTCGAGTGTGAATGGAATTGGCCTGTTCCAGGGAGCAGGTACGGCTCAAATCCCACCCCTCAATATCAATCCAGGACCTTCCACATGACAAAACACATACTAGCAGCCACTGGACCTTTCCACCTTGCCCCGCCAACGTAACATTAGACCGTTTCGTAAGGCACGAAGGCCATGACTTGCCACGTCTTGTTCAGTCACGTTTGATGCTGCGGAAGCTGTCGACACGGGTCTCCAGTGTCATCGCGTAGGGATGTTGAACGCATCAGACGGCTCTACCCACGCTGGATTCGTCGTCGCAACATCTCGCCGTCGTCACCTGCTGTGTTACCCTTGCCAACTCGGTTGTTATCGGCGCTGTCGAGCCATGTGCTCCAGCTGCGGCTGCAGCCGCGTGCTGCTCTGCCGACGGGGCTCGTCACCAGCTCGACTCGCCCTCGCCAGCTCGACTCGCCAGCTCGACTCGCCGTCACCAGCTCGACTCGCCCTCGCCAGCTCGACTCGCCCTCGCCAGCTCGACTTGTTGTCGCCAGCTCGACTCGCCCTCGCCAGCTCGACTCGCCCTCGCCAGCTCGACTCGTCGCCAGCTCGACTCGCCGTCACCAGCTCGACTCGTCGCCAGCTTGACTCGCCTTCGCCAGCTCGACTCGTCGCCAGCTCGACTCGCCCTCGCCAGCTCGACTCGTCGCCAGCTCGACTCGCCGTCACCAGCTTGACTCGCCCTCGCCAGCTCGACTCGCCTCGGCGCTGTTGAGCTCAAGGCTCCAGCTGCGCAGCTGTGCCTCCGCGCTGGCCTAAGTTGCCGATGGCTGGCGCTGTCGAGACAGCGTCATCCGCCGTCTGTCGCTGGATGGACCGGCGTCTGCGCTGTTGAGCTCGAGGCTCCAGCTGCCCACCGCGCGTACCGGTACCGGCCCCGAGTCTCCGATGGTTGTCCTCCTCACTGTTGAGACAGTGCCACCAGCGGCGGCGTCCTCACCAGCCTGGTGCCTCTGGTCTGCCCAGCTCTGCCTCAGCTGCGCTTCGGCGCGCGCCTGTGACGGCGCGGGGATCCCACGGCTCCCTCGGTACTGGCGTCACCAGCCCCAGCGCGGCGCGTCATCGCATCGACCTACGGCCCGGGTTGCCTTGGTGCTTCAGGCTCAGGCCTTACGCCGTGCAGGCCTTGGCACCTCGCTAGCTGGCGTCGACGTGGCGCCCGCGGCCACCTCGCACCATCCGCAACAAAGAACGTTCCAGCCTAGCCCGCAGACAACCCACCGCTGTGCGGTCCAGACCGACGTCGGGCCTCGCCGGCCTCGCTGGTTGTCACCCCGCGGAGTGACGTCATGCCGACCGGTCGGCCGGTCCAGGCGCTGGCGCTCGCTCGACGGGCCGGACTGGCCAAATCGGGAGCTGCCGTTGAGGCGCGCTGTTCGGCCGCCGCCGGCGCCGCTGACACGCGCCGGAGCGGCGCGCGCTGCCCCTGGTCGTGACCAGCCGGGTGCCGTCGAGGCGTCGCCGCCGCGGAGCGGGCAACGTGCCTTCGTCGCTGCGCGGTGCCGTCGCTGTCGGGCCGTGTGTCCCGCCGTCCTGCCGCGAGCCCTCGGTCAGCATACGAGGGGCGCGGCGGGCCGGCGATCGGTCGGACGTCATGCCGGTCGCCGGCGGGCCGCTGGTAGGTGAGACGGTGAGTAGGGGAGGGTCGACTGGCTGGTAAGTAGGACGGGGGATCTCCGTCGGCGTGTGCTGCTGTGTTGTCCGCCGGCGCGCGGCCTCGCCCGCTCTGCCGTCGCCTCTCGCCTGACTGAGACGGCATGCCGGGTGCGCCGGCCGGCCTGTGTGTGCTGAGTCGCACGGCGAGGGCGCGGCCGGGCCCGGCGCGTCGCCCCTGCCACGCTCACCCGCCACTGCCGCCTCCCGCAGCTGCTCAAGCGCACCATCCGTGTCGACCACGTGCGCGACTACAAGCCGCCCAAGGACAGCGACGACCTGGACCAGATCACGCGCCGACTGCACGAGGAGGGCGTGGCACCGCGTACGCCCAGCCCGCCGCCAGCCGAGCCGGAGCCCGAGCCCGAGCCGGAGCCGGAGCCAGCGTCCCCCAGCCCGCTGAAAGGTGAGGCCTCGCGACAGCGGAGACAAAGGGCATTGCTGCGTGGGCCTGAGCGCGATTGTAGGTGCGATGAATTAACTGCACAAATACGAGAATCCCCGAACCCGTCTAAAGGACACCAGTTCTATCGGAATGCCTGCTGAAGGTGAACCGGTCACCGCACAAGGTTGTGCCCAAGTGAGAATGATTGACAATGTCAGGTCAGCTCGCCAGGCAGTTCTTTCTCCTCCTGTACTTTACACCGAGATGGATTTTTACGACGAATAACAGGCAATGGCAACGCTTCGGCAAATGTATTTCCGGCAAATGTATTTCCTTTCAGGCCTACTGAAAACCAGAATCGAGTTTCTTTTGCCCATGTTGCATTAGTTGTTTAATTGAGCGCTGAAGTGGTGATGATATCGTGGCAAACTATAAGCAGTTCGTTTAACAGTAGGAACAAATTGCCTGTCAGGTCGGGATCCTGAACACGCCATTTAGGATATGGAGTTTTCCATGCGCAACCGCTTTGTGAGATTGTGGGTGGCGGTATCATGTAAATTGTGTCTTCTGGTGTGACCTCGACCTTATCGATCTGATTATGTCAGTAGTGGGCTTTATATTTTGACCCGTGCAATGCATTTCAGCGAAAAAAGAAAAGAAGAAGAAGAAGAAGTTAAAGAAGGATAAAGATTCAGAGGAATCTACGGACGAAGAACGTTCGCCCAAAAAGAAAAAGTCAAAGAAGAAAAAGAAGAAGAAGGAGGTATCGTCCGAATCTGAGGAGTCCTTGGACTCCGACTCGGAAGAAGAAAGGAAGCGGAAAAAGAAAAAGAAGCAGAAAAAGAAGAAGCGGCGCCGCCACTCGTCGACCAGTGAGTCGGAGAGCAGTGGCGATGACCAGTCGGAGCCGGCCAGCGACAACAGCAACGGCGCCGGCCACAGGCGACACAGAAAGAAGTCGAAGCGGCGCCACCACGAAAGTTCGTCGGCCGAGGACGAGTCCGCGTCAGAGGCCAGCGCGGCACAATCGCCGCCGGCGGCGCACGTCGAGCGGCGTGACTCGTCTGGCGGCGGGCGCCGCGGCCGCGAGCCGCCGGCGCGCGCCGGCGCCGCGGCGCCGCACACCAACGGCCGGCCTGCGCCGCCCGGCGCCGCACCTGTCCGCCGCAACCGCGGCGGCCGCGGCCGCCAGAACCGGCAGCTGAGTCGGCGCCGACGCCAGCGCGAGATGATGCGCGAGCGAGAGCTGCGCGAGGCGCAGCTGCCGCCGCCGCGGATGCACGTGGAGCTGGACCGCGTGGAGCCACGCGACCGCCGTCTGCTCGAGCTGGCCGACTATGCCGTGCTGGAGCGGCACAGGCAGGCACCCGAGACGCTCGACCAGCTGCGCGAGGAGGTGGAATCCCTGCGTGAGCTGGTGCACTCGTCGCACGTGTCGCCGCCGTCGCGCCCGTCGCCGCCGCCGCCGCCACCCAAGCGTCGCATGCTCTCACCCGTGTGGCACGACAGCTCGCCGCCGCCGGGGCCGCGCGGCCGCGAGCGTCACGATCACATGCTGCGGCCGCCGCTGCCGCCGCCTCCGCCGCCGCCGCGGCGCCGCTCGCCGGAGCGCGTGGCGAGGCCGCCGGCCGACCGACGCGACCGGCCGCGGGACCGGCGCGAACGCACACCTGACGGGCCGCCGCCGCCGCCGCCGGTCCGACCGACCGACCGACGCGACGGCGGCCACAGCGGAGCGCCAGACCGACGCGACAGGGGCCCGGACGGACACCCAGACCGACGCGACAGAGGCCCGGACGGTCCCCTAGACCGACGCGACAGAGGCCCGGACGGATCTCTAGATCGACGCGACAGAGGCCCGGATGGCCCCTCGGATCGACGCGACAGAGGCCCGGCCGGCCCCCCGGACCGACGCGATAGGGGCCCGGACGGCCCCCCGAACCGACGTGACAGAGGCTCGGATGGCTCTCTAGACCGACGCAATAGAGGCCCGGACGGCTCTGGCGGCAGGCGTGACCGCGGAACCAACGGCCAGCCGGACAGGCGCCATAGAAGTCCCGACGAGCCGCCGGAGCGTCGCGACAGAGGTCTGGACGGCTCGACCGGCCGGCGCGAGCGGGGCTCGGACGGCCCGGCCGAACGGCGCGACAGGTCGCCGGTGCGCCGCGAGGTGGTCGCCGATGGCCGACACCGTGGCGGCGACCGGCACCGACGGTGAGGCGGCCGCTGTTGCCCGCAGGGGGCGATGGTAACGCCGGAGCTGCTGGCACGCTCGGGAGTGCGTGGGGCTGCCCGGCCAGCAAAGGTACGCGACGGGAGATGGTGGGCGCGGGACGTGCGTGTGTACCTCTTGAAGTGGTCGTCCGTACGTGTTGGTAGATGTTGAGACGCGGTGCCCACGGGCGGTGCGGTGTGCATTGGTGAGAGCCGTTCATTCCACCACGCAACTGTATTAGCCTGCGACGGAGACCTGACACGTGGCGCACGCTCTCACAACATAGTAAAACACCAAACATGTGTATAGGCATAGATAGTGTGCTACATGCAGTTTCCGAGACGAATAGAATTTCACTGACTAGCACGGTATTTGGTGAGGTTGTGGCCGCGCCGGGGGTCGTGCGAGTGCGGCCCGTCCGACCACCACGTTGGCCGTCCGCGTCAAGGCGGCGGCAACAGCTATGACTAGATTCACGCGACAGGGCAGTCACACCACAGCGGCTACTCTAACGGAACAGAAACGCAGGCACACCACGCGTAGTGACGCGCACCTGCGGCTACCGAAGGCGCGCCGGCAGGCTTCGGCCGCGCCGCTGTTGACAAGACTATGAGGACTAGCTTACGTCTGAGTGCCGCCGCACAAGGCTCGGACGCGTCGCCCGGAGCGGCGCGGCCGGCCGGAGGGAGGGCGAGAGCTCGCGCTCACACCGGCCACGAACATAGAACAAAAAGGTGCGGCAACACAAACAACGCGCGCGCGCGCGCGGGGTCGGCGGTGAGTTCGGCACGCGCCGCCTTATGTTACGCTCCGTGACGATCAACATTTGACTAGTACCGTTTCTTTGTGCTCTGCATGTCCTGCGCACAGTCTGACTAGGAGATGGCTGCGACGGGAGCGGGGGCCGACCCGGGCCGTCCTGAGTACACCTTCAGCTCAAAGAGCGCGCAGTCCCGCGAATACGCCGGGCAGCGCGCGAGGTGCGCGATTCCGAAGCTGCTCGTCCGTCGTCGGCGTCGATCAGAGCAGGAGGCAGCAAATGAACGCAAGCGAAATGAAACTTCGCGCATCTACGCCAAAGCGTTACAAAATAAAGAATCCAGAATACCGCACGTAAATGCGCACGTACGCAAATAAGCACGTGGCGGTACGGGTACCGCGCTGCCATGCGCGCGGCGGTTCCACCCGCCTCCTGACCACGGCGTGGGTGGCGCCCACCAGGTGGCGCCTTCCTTCTTCGGCGACGCGCGCTCTGTGTCCCGACGCCTGGGCCCTGTACTGCCGCGGCATTCGGCGCCCGTCCGGCGCACTCGTCCGGCCGCGCTAGTTGACGTTGAGCACGTGCTCCGCGACGAGGGGCGCCTCGGCAAACACCGTGCTGTCGCCGTCCTGCAGGCAGACGAAGCGGTGGCCGTTGTTCTCGCCGGCCGGGTACAGCGTGACGTATACGTCCTGGCCATTGGTGACCAACGGCTCTGCCAGCGTCAGCGGCAGCAACACGGTGGGCTCGGGCGGCGGCGCCGGCTCCAGCGCGCGCAGCTCCACCGCGTCCACCGGCTGAAGCTCCACGTGGTCGCCGCCGCCGGCGGGCGCCGGCTCGGCGTAGCGCCGCGCGAACTCGGCGAACTCGTCGTCGGCGGCGGCGGCTGCGAACTCGCTGTTCTCGTCGGCGCTGAGTTCGATCTCGGCGGCGGGTGCGACCGGCTCGGGGGCGGGCGGCGCCGGCTGCTGCGGCTCCAGCACCAGCGGCACCGGCGTGGCCGCTAGCGTCGACGCCTCCAGCAGGTCGACGCTGACGGCCGGCGTGCACGTCTTGGCGTCGCGATGTCGGCTGAAGTTGCTCAGGTCGTAGAAGCGCCTCAGGCACGTCTCACACTGCAACAGTGCGGCGAGCCGATGAGAAGGCGCACAGAAATCGTCGGGTAAGTCGGCGAGAGGACATACGATAACGGTGGGGCGAGCCGGTAAGAGGACACAATAACGGCCTGGCAAGCAGGAGAGGACGCACTACAACGGCCGGGCACAACAGCGAGAGGTAGCTCTTTGCAACGCCTTCTGGCTATTCGAAATGTGAATATTTTCTCCAGAAATCCGATAGAAACTTCAGAGATCTCCGATTATATGGGTCCATCCCAGACCGTGACAGCTTTCCAAAATCCCCGCAATCTGCAAATGTCTTGAACAAAGTGGGGCACACTGATGGCGCCCCACGCCATCAGATGGGATCGTGTCAGCCTAGGGCCAACGAGCCTTGGCGTGGCCCTTCTCTCTCTACCTCCCACCGCCGCGGCGCCTACCTGGTACTGGGCGTGCCGGTGCATGCTCTGCACGTGCTTGCGCAGAGCCTCGGCCGAGGCGAACGGCTTGCGACAGAGGTGGCAGGTGTGTTCGGAGGCGGCCGGCGGCTCGGCGGCGGCGGCGGCCGGTCCCGTCTGGTGGCGTCGCTTCACGTGACGGTTCAGGCTGTGACTGGCGCCGAACCGCTCTTGGCAGAACTGGCACACGTGCGGCTTGTCACCTGCGCGACGCGGGAGACGGTCAGTGTCGGGGTACCGCCCGACCGCCAGCCGTCCGTTAGCAGCGGCTTCCGTCCCTCGCCCGGCCCGCGTACTCCAACGCCAGATCCCGACCCAATCCAGCCGTGTCCAGAACCCAGCCGAGAGCGCCGAGCGCTGACGCCCTGCAACCCCGTCAGCAGGGCAGGCTCGGAATCCCAGCGTACCGATCAGTGGTCACGATCCGTTACTCCGCTAAGTGACGGACCAACTCATTCCAGCGATGGAGTTACGGTCTGATTAGTTTTCAGTGGAAAGCATCGAGTGACTTCTGTCACTTTTGTGGTTTCTGACTCAGTTACTTAGCCCGTTATTCCGTGACTTCGTTACTGTTGGTTTTAAGGCGCACATGAGGGGGGAAAACATAATGACGGGAAATCACGCTACTCTTTGAAACGTTTTGTACGTCTACCTTCTGAAATCAATGTGGTATGACTAATTGTGGCGCAAATCTCAAGAATTCGAACTGTAGAAAAGTTTGTTTTTGACTACACAATAAAGCAAAAGTAGCAGAATCCTCAAACCATGTACCAACCCACGCGAGCAAGGAAGCACCACATGACTTATGCCTTATTCCGCGTAGGTAATAAAAAAGAAAATAAACCTTACTGAAAATAAATGCACATAAATCAGACGCAAATGCCAAAGTCAACCATTTGTAACTGCCTAAGACAGTAGTAATAGCCTTATTCCTCACAGAAGAACCATGCAAATGGAGATATAGATTTCGGCAACATGCCTTGATCGAATCAGTAGCAGAAGTTTCGATAAAAGCATGGTTTTTCTCCGACTAATAAGGCTCTTGTGTATGCAATTAAAGTTACTCGCAAATGCGCTGAACAACTCACGTAATTTATAACCACCTCCCCACTCCTAAAGCCATGCAGTCACAATGGATACAACATCATGGTTTTGCAATTTTTGCTGTTGCCTAACCCTTCAACAGCACTCCCAACTAGCCGGTCGGCAAAGCTAAGCAATGGCCTAGTTGTGTAAAATGACAGCAACAGCTACTTTTGAACATGTCTGGACCTGCAAACTCTGAAAATCGCAAGACGTCTTGATTTCACTCCCCCTACTTCGCCCCCACACCGCCAGCTGTACCGCCTGTATGTGTCAATCCAGTTACAGAGGAGGAAATTTTACGAAACAAGAACTGTGCGGAGCGCTATGAACGTACGCAATCCATTCTGGATTCAACAAATGCGAAACTTTTCAGGGATTGTTCGGTGATCTCACCCTTGTATGTGCTTGTTTAGCATATCTTTCCTCGACGTGGTCAATATGCCAAACGCTGCACGAGCAATTTGTTGCGCACTTGTGAACAGTTAACACAGTGAAAACCAAATTGTCTCTTCAGTTTACCTTAGCCCTTCGAGGCGATGTAACCATGCTAGACGCTACATGGACACAGCCGCTTTCGCAGCTAAAGTGAGCTCAGTGAGAGTTAAGTTACTTTTCTCATGCGCATGCAGTCGGCATGCCTTTTCTTCGCAGTAGTTTTACTTCATTAAAATGGCTACGGCAACTTACGGTTAACGGACTTAGTCACTTCCGTTCTATTTTCTGTTGAAGTAACGGAGTAACGAATAACAGAAATACCTTGCTGAAGTAGCAGGGTAACGAGTGACGCGACTACTTTTTAGTAACGGTACCCACCTGCGACAGCCACAATCCAATACCGGGTAAACGCGTCAAGAATGGCAGACACACTGCAGTCATACCGTTATCATACACCAGAATCGGTCGTAAGTTTGAAATTAATTAGGCGTAATTGTCACATGTCTCATTATATCTACACGCCATCAGGCGTCTCATGTCACATGCTGTCGACACGCGCCGCATTTACATTGTCGGCCCAATTGTGCTACTCAGTCTCAAACGGATCACAGCAATGCCGAAGAAATAACCGCAAGAAGGACAATCCACTCAGCATCCGCCATGCCGTGTGTGAGGTGTGCGCGCTCATACAACCCACTCAGCATCTGCCATGCCATGTCTGTGAGGTGTGCGCGCTCAGGCGGCGGTGGGCGGCCGCCCAGGGGTGCGGCACGTACCCATGTGCACTTGCTGGCGGTGGCGGCGCAGGCTGTCCCGCGTCGGGTACGTCTTCTCGCAGTCCTCGCACACGTACACGCCGCCGAAGTGCGACTTGGCGTGGCGCACCAGCCTGGCGGGTGAGGTGGGGCCGCAGGTCAGCGGGAGTCATGGGAAATGACACCGCCGTCTCCGGCTGCCAGATCACATCCGGAACAGAGTGCAGCCAAGCGGAGACAGCGCCACTAATTCGATAACGGTAGCAGGGTTCGAACAAAATACAAATATTCAGGGCGAAATTGAGTCACGTTTCATGAACATTTATCGAGAATCACAGTGAGTTATGGGTTACAACCTGACGTCGACAACAATGTCTGGGATATCGTGTTACAACATAACTCTGGCTCCAGCTTGAGCACGAGGACTAACGAGTTTATCACGCCTTAGTATTACAACACAATCCCTACACTGCCGTGAGTCGAAACATCAATAGCACCATAAGCAAAACGTTCAAAAGGTGAATTTGAAAGGAAGAGATTACATAGACGTACACAATACATCCACTGACGGTGGGCCAAATCAAACATCTGGGCAATTACAGCATTTCATTCACCAGTACAGAGCTGGTGGCAAGCTGCATCCCACCTCAAGAGTCATACCAAGCTTTCGACAACGCGAACGTCGATCCACCTCGGCCGCCATTACCACCGGCTTCGTTCAGCCGTCGCGCTCAACAAACGCCAGCAGCTACCGGTTGGCGCGCTGCCCGCGGCGGCGCGGTCGGCCCGGCCACGTGGCGGACGACACCGACTGTCGGCAACAGCCCCTCTCACCCCGGCTTGGTCATGAAGCGCTTGCCGCACGTCTTGCAGGCGTGCACCACGCCGCGGTGGGTGGTGAGTCGGTGGTAGTTGAGCGCGCCCAGCATGGAGTAGCGCTTGCCGCACTCGTCACAGTCGAAGGGTTTGGTGATGCCGTGTGCGGAGCGCATGTGCTCGTGCCAGGTGCTGCGCAAGGCGAACAGCTGGTGGCACACGGAGCACGGGTGGCGAGGCTTCAGCTTCTGTAGGACGAGACGAGCGGCGACGGTCAGGCAGCGTCTCCGGCCGTCGCGGTCAAACACGGTCAGGTTGTGTACTGGGTCAGTCACGGTCGGGGAGACGGTTACACAATGTTCTGGGCGGGGCAGGGTCGGGGAAATAATTCGGCGGTGTCCTCGACAGGTCGAAGCAAGAGCAAGATTTCCTAGCAATCATAACAACGAACTATTCTGCTCGGAACATGGACAGCCCAAGCACGTGGATTATGAAGATTTTTAAGACACGTTTTTAAGTGTAATGAAATGAGAGCAGTGAGATAGGATCGCTTTTGAACTGGATTGGGAATAAAAAATTAGTCGCAAAAACGCGGTCTAACCCATTTGTATCACAGCTGCATTTGTGCATCACTAATTCTTGCAAAATTCTTGCTGCCACTCGCCATGCAATTAACCAACTTAACCTAACTTAGAGTAGTCCACATGTTGAACACTTGTCTCAACTCACGTCACCTATTTCTTGACAGCAGCACTTGTCATAAAAACATGATCAAGGTCATTTTTGGCTGGTTTCAACTTGTGTTTAGGTTCAATTCATTTGTGTCAGCTTGTTAACACCAGACAAAGCCGACAACACACAAATCAAAGCATTTCAAGTCACTTTGAAAAAGTTATTCTGATTGCCATGGTCAGCCTCTGTCAAGAGCAATAGTGGGTATGCTTCACAAAATAATCTCGCTTCTCTAAATATGACATAACTTATAGATGGCCACACCAGTTTTGCTGCTAGCCTTTCCAGCTGCAACAAGGCATCCATTTAGGTTTGTTTGATCATATTAAATGACAAAGGTTGAGATGTTGGCTTCACATTTTAAGTGGTATGGGCTGACTATTTGCGACAACAACAAAAAAATCTGCCTCATCTTGTAATTGCCTTGAAGCTTAGAGTATTCCTGTGTTAAAATATACTGTGAATATCCTACAGCACAGTCACTTGCCAGTCAGCAAACCATGACAACTATGGACAACATCGTGTTAAATCAGACACGACGAACTGCTTCAACAAATTTGGGGCAAATAATCAAGAGTGAGGAACAATATAGTCCAATTACATGTCTCATGGCATCATGCTTTGTCTTATGGAAAAACTTGATGGATTAAAATGGAAAATGGCTGAATCTGGCAAGCAAATTATGCGTTGGAAGCAGGTGAGGTGAGTAATTAGCCGCCCCACAGGAGTGGCTAATTACTTACCTAACTTCCTAGCCTTTTAAGGGCAGGCTTCTTTCTGCCCCCCCCCCCCACAAAAAAATCCGTATATTTTGCATGGTTTGCTAACTGACAGGGTCATCCCAACCACCCTCAAAATAAAAATATAACTCATGCCCACCAACCTACAAGATTAACACGTGCCCGGGTGGCCGACTACATACCCTTCGCTCGGGTGGGGGTCAATTTGACCCCCCTGAGATGTCGGGAACTAAGAAAGCTAGAGAAACCAAATTTACAGGGTGTGTTGACCTGTACATGAGCTCATTTATGTCAGTTCCTAGGCTCCTAGGTCATGACCTTTGGATCGAAAAGGGAATTGGAAGAAAAAACAAAAATTGAATGAAAAATGAATTGAAAAATGAAGAACTAAGAAAGAACAAAAGGTGCAATTCTGGCTTGAAGGTACCTGGTGCCCTTGCTCTGTGCATACATAGACATGATTCAGATATAGGTGAGGCTGGATATAGCCATAGGTCAGCAGGTTCTGTGGAGCCTCCTTTGAGCTTGACAGCTTCCTGGGAGCTCAGTTTTAGATGACATCCTAAAACCTCGGAATGGGAAATACGGGCTTGGTAGGTGCAGTTAGACAATATAAGGTAGGAGTGAAAATTCATGTAAAATGTGGAGAAGAGTGTAAAATCCCTCCTCATTTGGTGTTGCTTGACACCCAAACTGACAATTCTAGGACACTGATGAGAAACCTATGACATCATCCAAGACAGATTAACTTCTATTTCTCTCACCACCTGCTGGAAAAGTGAAATATAAGCTTTTTACTTCCCAAGCAAGTTTAAAGGATCAACTTATTAGGTTGAGCATTGTTTGCTTTGAAAATTTAAACAACCTGACTGCCTGTTGCTCTGTTTATCTGTAAGATAAACCTACACTGATTACTGCATTGATTAATACAAAGCAATTCCAAATGATCAACGAACAAACAAATACACTCTGCTAGGTTTTAATTGGTTGCTTGCAGTGTACCTGCCAAGGATTTACATGAATGATGTATGGGCGATATCACTGACCACTTATTTGAAATGCCAGCAACATGCCTATCAGCACATCTACCTAACAACCAGAGGGACCAAAATGCAGCCCGCAATGCATTCCGGAGGCCCGCTACCCCCTGACATGCGGCACCAGCTGTATCACGCACCGGGTCTTGGAGCGGCTGTTCGACCCGGATGGTGCGTGCGGAGCCGTCCTGCTGCGGCGGCGAATCTTCGCCCGCCAGGCCGCTGTCCATCGAGTCAGATGATGTTGTGCCGCCCGACCGGCACTGACGCACCGGCCGCACCATCGCTGCTGCCACCTGTCCGTCGATGGCTCAACTACAGGATAGCAGTGTCGCCGCCGCCGACCCAACTGCCCTGGCAAAGAGATGGCTTGTTATGCTGGTGCCAAAATATAAGGTCTTCTGGGATCAGGTCATGCTTGTAGCCTGAACCACTTTTTGAGGAATGGGTCAAGTATTTATGCTGTTTTATGTGGGGCTTGAAAGCCAGGAACAGAATAAGCAATACAGCAAGTTTTGATACAATTAAGTACAATAATGCAGGCATTGCAGGCATTGTCAATTTCACACTAAAACACATACCACAAAGTCATCAATGTACCTTCAACAACAGACAGGAGCAGACATTTACCAAAACTTCATCATCCAAGATGAGCTCATCAGTGCAAGTCCACTACCAGACAGAATATTCTGCTGAATATTCTGCTCATGCTCATGTCTTGAGCAGGTTTGTAAACATTTGGAGGCAAGCTGTATAGAGATGGGCATCACAGTTATGAAGGACTTATTTATACTAATCCAGAACTGCCATGTGGTTGGATTTTTGTCCACTTCCTGGTATCCAGAGTACAAAAATGTAGTGGCAGCTGGGGATATAAACCAAGTTAAATTTGTCATTTAAGGGTGTGAAATTAAAACTGGTAATTCAGGCTTTACAAAAATATTCTTTTAAGTCAAAAAACATTGCTGTAAATAGCAAAAAAACTGTTCGGAGACAGCCATCCTGCTCCAGCAAAAATGCTGGGACACCAGAGTAACATGAAACCGTAACTTTGGCCTGGCAAATGAAGGAAAAAGGTTTATTAAGAAAAAATGTTAATGAATTGCAACATAAAGTATCATACTTTGCAATGATATCAGTTTAGAGCGCACCAAAAACCCATTAATACATTGTATTATCCGCCAGAGTCAGGCGGAGTGCCAGACTCTGATCCCTTTTGGGTGGCCTGTATAGGTCTGTCAGGCATTGTACTTCCTCTGGTTCGGTATATCAGCTGAGAGTGCTGTCTGGCCCTATTATTCTGCTGGGACGTGCACGGCCCCATGTTGTCAGAGAGTCAAAAGGTAAAGGGTATGAATATCTAGCCATTTTTAAAACCACTTAGCTGGTGGAGCCTGAGTAGCATGACTGTGGTGGAGCATGAGTTGGTGACCATCTGTGGTATGTTCAATTGCATATTTTTGGGTACCATTTTTCTCTGGTCAGGTCTATTTACTACAATACTTTTTACAGCAATACTTTGGGAGGAATATGTATATTGATATATATATATATATATATATATGTATATATATATATATATATATATATGTATTGTATGCATTTGGGAGGAATATGTATAATATTGTGCTTATGTTGAGTACCACCCATTGTATTGTTATCTCCCAGAGATAACCTGAACAAAATTGTGATGACCCACAGCACTTGGATAATTTTGTACCCCACCATAAAAATTTGTACTCAACTACCAAGAAGATGTTCGGAATTCCAACACTGTCACGGGGTTGATGAGAGCAATATACAGCAAAACTAAACACAATTTGAAAAAGGTGCTCACTATGCTAACTGCTAACTCACCATGCTAATTGTACAAGCACCAAGGATAACTTATTTATATTATAGCCCCCAAGTCAGCCTCCCCCCCCCCCCGTCATGCTGGCATTCTGCATCTGCCCTTACGCAAATGAAGCATTTTTGGTGCCATCAATATGCCAGGGAGACAGCCCTCAAAATGTAGTAAGTAGTAGTCAAAGTAAGTAGTGAGAACATACATTAAGATCAAAACTGGTATGTAATAACCCAAAGAGTGAGGTTACTCAATAAAAAATAAAATGGAAAATGGGTGCAAAAATAGCCTACTTGTTTTAGTTTACCCTGCTATCATGATATGGGCAAATGCCTTGATATACCTATTTTTATTATGATTATAACTCAGAATTTCTTATTTTGACCATAACCAACCTTGAATATACAAAAAAACTAGCTAAATAATGCCATCAATCAAGCATTTACTTTATTGACAGAACTTCATACATGAAGCTGAACTAGGTGCCCATAGGCATTTGCTTGACTATGAGCCCATCTTGAAATGCCAAGCTATGGCAATACAGCTAATGCTTTATATGATCATGCAATCTCAGCATCTTCATGTTATAACAATCTACATAACAACTAACCATACATAACTTACCCTAACCCTTGCCATACTTTAAACTGGTGTTAGACCTAGGTTAACCTAAACTATCCTGCTCTACCCTAACTGATTCTAACATAACATAGAATGCCCAAATCTGACTGTTTTGCCTTCTAGGCACTGAACAATCAATAATAAGTGTCAAGTTCTGCTATGGCCACATGTCTACACTAGCATGGTCTCATTAGATTCCCTAACACCACTGTCATTATGAAGTGAAAATAATTTTATCATGACTGTAATATGATATTTTCTAAAATAAGTCCTACATTTCCCCCGTGTTATGTGCTGTTAGCTAGCCATTTTACATTGGCGAGTGTTCAACACTTACCCAGCAGCTACTCATGAGATCAGCTATATGTGTGTATATATATATATATATATATATATATATATATATATATATATATATACAAATACATATAGATAGATAGATAGACATATATATATATATATATATATATATATGTATACATATATATGTACATACATACACCTATATATGTGTATAATTATTTGCCTTCTGTCCTCAAGTCACAAACCAAAGATAGGGCCATGTGGGTGCATATAATATTTTGGTATGTTACCAGCTTAGCAAGTATGTCATGCATGTGATGCCCTTATTAACTATTCTTAATCAGTACCAATCATGCACATTGCCTACTTCAATTCCTTCATAACTCAAAATTGGCAACAACAGAGCTATATTTTAGGCAGTTTCATGAGATGAAGCTAACATGGGTGCAAGTGCAAACCATGCACAGAAAGCGGTAAAACTGATGTCAAATAAATTTCCATTATTCATTGTTTATCCTAAAAAATGCATCTCCTAAAACTTTAGTGGATACATTAGAGCATTTGAACCATGATAGCGACATGTATGCAAAATTACATCATAAAAATATGCAAAGACGTCTTTCAAACGGCTACAATTCATCACAGATACAACATCCTAAGCATACGCCATTTTGCCACAAAAAGTCACCGATAACGTCCTGCGACGCTGCCTAAGTATCCTGCGATGAAATTGTTTTCGTTGCATTCCACTGGATTGTACCTGTTTTCCACAGCACGAAAAACAACATGGGGCGTAATTATTAAAAAATCTAGTAGAATTTGAACTTACTTTTCACCCACCCCCACCATCCAACCAACGAGCACTGAGTGGTAAGTGCGTCGCAGTTGCCGCATGAGCGCTGTCAACTTTTTGTGTATTTGTCTGTTCGAAGCCATTGGTTTCGACCTGCGAAGCACACGAGTGCTATGTGATGTCTGCAGCTATGATGGTGTTGAGTTGCAAGAAGTTACTCAGCAGCCTTTCAAGCCCGGCTTTATACATATGGCAACTTACATCATTTAATTATGTAGCGAAAAAAACGTTTTCACATTGTTTTAAGATTGCGTGACGTAATATCAAGGAAACTTCACGGGAACGCGTAAATGTCATAAATGTTTTCACCGGGATCGCAGTCGCAAATCTTGTCATTATGAGATTCACATCCAGTACCCGTCGGTTCCCCACCAGTAACGCAGGCAGGGGGCGGCACAGGGAGCATGTGACTTGCCTTAGGTTCGAGGGACCCTTCGGGCCTCTGAGTCGATAAGAGCCCATGTATCGGTTAGGCATCACCCATAACGCACAGCCGGCTCCGTGTCGGCATGGGCCTGAAGGCCCATTCCACAAGCAGGGACAAAGTAGAAGCCAGCAGCGACTCCCATTGGTCAAGGCCCCAGCGTCTGTCAGGGACCCCAGCAGACCCCAACAGGAGGCCCTGTGTTTGTTAGTGACCCCAATCGGCCAGAGGCAGTATTCAAGAATGTGCGAACAGTCTGGAGGGCCCGCCGGGACCGAATACCCAGGGCCCGATTGGAGGGCATAAGGGCACGGAGAGATGATCGGTTCTTATTCAGGGGCTTCAGCCCGCGGGGACGGGCCCTCAAATGTCAGTCAGAGGGCCCTTTGCACCGATTGGGTACCCCCTGAGTCGATGTGGGCCCATGTGTCGGTCAGGTACTACCCGAGCCGCACAGTCAACTCCGTGTCAGTATGGGTCCGAAGGCCCACTTCCCTATCAACTACAAAGCCGGGGCCAGCAATTTACACTGGTCGAGGTCCCTGTACCTGTCAGGTGCCCGCGGTGCCTAACAGAGGGTCCTGTGTTTGCAAGGGGCCTGAGCCGGCGAATGACAGTGCTCGGTGAGGCCCGAAAGGAGTTTGGGCGGCCCAGCGGAATTGACGACCAAGGGCTCGGTTGGAGGGCATAAGAGCCTGAAGGACTGGTTGTTGGTCACACAAAAAATCGGGGTCCATGCCGGCACGGGATCGTGACCTGAAAGATCAGTCGGTGGTCCTCTAACACCGCTTGAGGACCCCTGAGGCAATGCGGGTGTCTGGGTCGGTCAGAAAACACGAACACCGGACAGTTGGCTCCCTGTTGGTCTGAAACCTGTGGGCCCATTTCCCAGGCAGGAGCAAGGCCGTGGACACAACTTGCATTGGCCTAGGCCCCTATGTCTGTCAGGGGCCCACAGTGTCTAAGAGAGGGTCGTGTGTCGGCTAGTGGCCCTGAGTCGGTCACGGACTTTGAGTAGGTCCGAAGGGGGCCGTAGGGCCCCTCGGGACCAAAGATCAAGGGCCCGAAGCGTTGGCTATAGGTCCCCCGGACCTCCGCCGGAAAGAGCCGTGATCTCAAATGTCAGATAAAGGGTCTCTTGTACCGATTTTGGAACCCTGAGATAAAGTGTTTCTCTCTTTCGGTCAGAGATCACCAACACCAAACAGTCGATTCCGTGTCGGTCTGAGCTCTTGTGACCCATTTCCCAAACAGGGACAAGACAGAGCCCGCGATTTGCATTGGTCGGGGCCCGTGCAACAAGGCGGGGCCCCTGTATCGGACGGAGGCCCAGTGCCTCACAGGCTGTTTTGTGTCAGCAATGGGTCTCGGGTCGGTCAGGGAACATTTGCTCAGCAGGGACGAGGACGGTACCCCGAATGATAAGGGACTTTTGCGTTGGTTGGGCACTCTGACAATGAAAGGAAGCATTTGCAATTTATGACGAGTGTTCACATTGAGACAGTGGAACGGTCCTGTGCCAGTCGTGGCCCCCAGTACCGAACGGTGGGCCTCCCAAACCAATTCCATCAAAGGCCAGTTAAGCCGAAGTGGAGTCCATGCACCAATTATGGAACCATCCGCGGCGATCAGGAATGCTGTTGCGTCAATGAAGGTTCCTGCGTCGATCCGGGGCCAACTGCACTGGTCAGGAGGCCTCCCGCGTCAGGGAGGGGACCCATGTGATATGACCTATCCCTCTACGGGCCTCCGGATCGACCAGGGATCCCACTCTGTGCCGCCAGAATGGCAGCTGTAAGACACCTCGCGATGGAACGGAGTGGCCTTCAACTCCTGACCGGGAACAATATGTGCCCTCTAATGTTCTATTCAAGAGACCCCCTTTCCCGGAAAACAAGGTTCTCGTTTGTGTTAAACAGAGTGCGTCGAAATGAGATAAAAAACGAGCAAGGCCATCCCATGTTTTCTCTAGAACGTTCATCCTTTTGCGGAATCGATTGGTGAATCAAACTGCAACTAACACCACGCGCCCCGTGCGAGAACGACTGCTCTGGAATAATGGTTCCGAATGCCTTTCAAAATTAATTCGTACCCTTCAAAAGTAAGACTAGGCTTACCATTTTTATACTTTGAGGATAACCTATGCACAGATGAACAGTTACAACAGCATGGGAGTTAGGGATTTTGCCTTTACCATTCCAGTTCCACCACTAGATTCCGACCGGCAATACTCGTCGGTGTCGTAAATGCCAATTCGTTCTGAACATCAATCTAAAAATCGCAACGGTCAGATATACGTCCGGAATGCCTTCTAAATGTACGATTCGATGTCTTAGAGTGTCCAAAGGTATTTCTTTCAGATTCGTCATCATTTTCGTCCATCGGCTGGTCATGGGTTAGTGTTAGCTAAAACGTCGACGCTGTGCAGCGTATAGAAATTGCAACTCCTAGCGTCTTTGTTTTTATCTTAGATTTGCGAGCGTGCTAGGTCAAAACTAAGTACATAATTTGCATCATAAATAGATTCTGACTGAACATTGAACATTTCCAGGCAGACTTGGCTTGGCCAAGCTGCTACAAATTGTTGGCCCAGTTTGACCTATAATCTTCACTCCCGTGTCCCTCAATCTCCTTAGAACCCAGATAAACATTCTGACAGAAGTTCTGAGTTCTAATGGCTTAGAAAGAGTTTCCTGGACAATTACAAATGGAGAGCGCCGGCGATTTATTTCATGCAACTGTTTAATGCATGATTTCTGAAGTTTACTGGCCACAAAATTCAGTCAGAATTTATTTCGCGGTATTTTCTGGCTTATATTGCAGTCATAAAAGTAAAATTTGAAGATATCAATGAAAAGCACGCCGCGATCAACAAATGGGCTATATCTGACGATTTTTCCGAAGGGGGATGCTTTCACGATCCGGGGACTTTTCAACCTTGTGCCCTATTGGCCAAGGTTCTGGCTGCGTGCCTGGTGCCGACCAAAGTTCGACATTCAAGCAACACACTTTAGGGGGAGAGGGGTGGCAGGGGCCAGTCCCCCCACTTTCCAAGGTTGGGGGGCCAGCAATGTTAATTGCCCCCAACTTTGTCATATTTGAGTTGTGTTTAGCCTACTTTTGTACTGCCATAGACATGCATGCCGACTTACCCACTTCACCAGTTATTTTCCTGAGGATACGTTATCTCTTTCGTTTGCCCATTGGCCATCACTTAAGTGTCGCAGCCACGGGGCCGACGCTGCGCGGCCTACTGAGACTGCAACGCGAGGCGTCGTGGCTGTTGGTGCTAAGATTTGTGAATTAAGAGCACGCACGATCAAGCCCGTGGTGCAGTTGTTTTTAGTAATTTATCCTGACTGAATGATAAACATCTTGAGACAAACATGGGTTAGCCATATCAATATAAATTTGGGACCCCGTTTCGATGTACAATCTATGTTCAGGGTTTTTAATATCTCTGCGTCACGGAGGAGAACAAGGTAATAAGATGTGTCCTTGTAAGGACCTCCGGATCGACCGGGGGTCCTGCCTCGTGTCACCAAAGCAGCAGCCGGAAGACATCTCGCAACATAATGGAGTGACCCTTGAGCCCTTGAACGGGAGTAGTAATGTGCCCTTAGTGTTATGCTCAAGGGACCCTTTGCCCGGAGGCAAATAAGGGGTATTGTTGAATAGAGCGGGTCTAAATGAGTTCAGAAACGAACAAGGCATTCCATGTTTGCCTGAGAATGTTTATTCCTTTGCAGAATCTATTAGCGAAACAAATTACATAAAAAATTCGGAACATGTGCGCCCGCAATCCCGGTAGCAAGGACTGCGGTGGCCTAGGATGCAGCTTCCGTAAAACCGAACGGCGTTGGCCACTGCAAGTGACACCAGGAGGCAGCCGCCGTAGTCAATCTGTCCGATTAGCAATAAAAGCAACACAAATTTGCCCGTTCTACCCTTGCTCTTGCAGTTCCACCACCATATTACAGCACCACTTCGCGGTGCTGTAAGGGCCAATCCTATCCTATCATCAATCTGAAAACGTACAGGTGAAATATATGCCCCGAATTTTTATAAAAGTAAGGCTTAATGTCTTTAAGTTTTCAAAAAATACTTCTTTCAAAACCGTCACCACTTGTATCCACCCGTTAGCCACAGCTCAATGTTAACCACTGGGTCAACGCTGCGCGGCTTACGGAGACTGCAACGCTTGGCAGCGAGGCTTTTGTTGCTAACATTTGCGAGCGCGCATATTCAAAACTAGCTTATGTCATTTGTATCGCTAATCGATTCTTAATGAATGTTTAAACTTTTTGGGCAAGCATGTCTTCGCCATGTTAATGCGCATTTTTTACACATTTCGATTCACAATCTACCTAAGCAACGTCCTTGATATGGCTGTAGAACCCATAACAAATCTGACAAAGCTTCTGAATTTAATTGGTTTATAAAGAGTCCAAGGAACCATTGTAGATGAAGAACGCGGGTGATTTATTTCAGGCGGCTGCTCAACGCCTGACTTCTACAGCTTATTGACTTCAAATACAAAAGAGAATAGATCTCGCGAAAGCTTCCAGGTTCTGGA